TGTACTAAGCATCCAGACCCATTCAGCCGTTCTGGCGTGAAAGAATAACAAGCATCATCCATCCATCCATCCTCACAAAATTCACATTTATAATATTAGTTATTTATTAACGAGATTATAAAAAATTACATTCAATTAACTGCATTTAATTTGTAATGAATATTGCCTTCGGCTATACGATTTCACTTCAAACTAAAAAAGTACAAAATGGAAACATATTTGTAACTAAATCTTTTTGCGTATATTTTTTAATTAAATTGTATTGTATTCAAAAATCAACCTTAAAAGTATTAGTGCAACATTTTACGTTTAGTTACAATTATATAAATTATTAAATAAAAAATATAAAAGGATTTGGGGTGCCCTGACTCGAGCTGAGATAACGTGGTTTGGTCATAAATAACTCTAGCGCACGTATGTCCATGTGCTATCTTTTGGTAATGTGCCTGCCTATTAATTTATTTATACAATAAGTATCTTTAAATGTTTAATTGTTGACATTTATTTAATAAAATAAGTCATAAGCTAAGAATTATGCAAATATTCAATACCTATTTGTCTCAGTAATAAAGGTGTAGCATTATGCCTAAAATTTACCAAAAGGTTTATAAGTTGGAGAATCATTCGGAAATATAATATGAATAGCAACTCACCCTCGCTCCGCTCGGGTTCGTCCCTACTTAATTTTAACGTTTAGTATAGATTTCTCGGAGATGAGATATTTTCCCGCAGTAAAAATTATCCTATATGTTGACCCGTATATGTATAACTAGCTATCATCATACCAAATTTCATCAAAATTCCTCCAGTGGTTTTTTCGTGATGTGGTCACCGACACTGACAGATGGACAGATAAAATTCGGCCTCTCTATCGATAATAATGTTTATTTCAAAAAGACATTCCGAAAAATATTTAATGCACAGATTCGGCTTATTAAGAACTTTATTATATGAATAGATTAAGATCTTAATCACTATAAATAAATAATTTTGAAACCATCCACTTTACTTTTGATTTGATTAGACTGAGACAAAGTTATAACTTACCTCGAGTTGTGTGGACCATTGGAAACAAACGAAGAAACATTCTTTGCGATATTTACTTCTTAAATTGTAGTGAAAGAGAGTAAGGTTCGGTGGGTTTTAAAGCGTTTTAAATTTCTATGGCTTCGCCTGTTTATTACTAGGTATGTAAGTGATTTAAACTTGCTATTAAATTGAAAATTCCGATTCCAACGATCAATTTGGTTGAAATTTTGATTCCTCTTTTGATTTCAATGATAATATGATATTTACAGATTTAATTTATTCAGTAATAAGAATGATATTATATTAGTCATAAAGTGCGAAGTAATAAGAATGATATTATATTAAAATTAAAAAGCATATGTTAATCTTTGAATTAATGTATGTTAATTTAAGGTTTGAAGAGAAAGCCAGAAAGGTTGCCATAGTTACTCGTTAAGTAAAGAGCATAGCTCCGTGTTGTTATGTTTTAGTATATGTTTTGCATCATTTTGTTTAAAAAAATGCTTTTTGTAATATTTATAGGTATAATTAATTCAGCTCAGAGCTCTACTATGAATCGGAGAACACTTCTTCTCGGATTGCTCTTCCATCGATAAGACACCATAAGAAATTATTGATATACATAAATATTTATATGTATAACAATAATGTCCTAATAACCAATATTGGTAAAGCGTAGCCAAGTATATGGGATATAATATTATAGTGAACTAGAGTGTGACGCCTTTTTATCCCATAAATCCGATGGGACGACAACTCGATACGATCGGTGACAGATAAGGTGCAGGATTGACAATTTAACGTGCTCTCTATTTTGGCCCGATCCGGGACTCAAACTAAGGACCTAATGGTATACAGACAAGACCAATGTATGCAGTCAATACTATAATATGTATGTTATACATACATTATTATACCATGTTTCTCATAATGACCATCAAGACTAAAAATCGATTAGGAGGGGATAAGAGTTAAACGATTATTATATTAAAAGAAAGAAATTAATTAGCAGTGTGAAGGTACCTGTCTACCTACAAGTATCATTATCAACGCTGTAGGTCGCGAGTTTGATCTGTACTGAGAGCGAATGTTAAGGTCATGCAGATTATACTGGGTTTGATTGGCAAGTTTGATTGGATACAATAATATATTTTTAATAAAAAATAATATCTTTAGTTAAATAATGTTAACGTTACTAGTAGCTCACCCTCGCTTTGCTCGGGTTCGTCCTTAGGCACAGACGGTTTGACGGTTAGTATGGAGTAGATATACTATATATTCTGAACTTAAAGCGCTTAAACATATTATAAACATCAGTTTTACAATAATGTATGGAAATCTGCTCGATTTGTTGATATTTATGATTACTGCTCCGCTCCCTTGGGTAGTACCATGAAGATATATAGCCTATAGTATTCCTCAATAAACTGGTTAAAAAGAAGAGTATTCGTAACTAAGTATTTCTTATTATTTCTTTATTTGGTCAATATCCCATTAATTTGATCCTCATTGTTTAAGATAAAATTTTGCTGATTAAAACGGTATTGTTAAAACTAATAAGCCATACCCAGTACTCATGTTTAGAAGTTATTCAAAAAAAAAGAAATGAATATTTAATTTAATACTTTATCTAATAAAGTCATTAAAATCTTATAATATTAAATGAGCAATTCTGGTATATATGTATATATATAAATTTATTTTATGTATCTCGGAAACGGCTCTAACGATTTGGATCAAATTTAATTGTATAACGGTTTTTTAAGTCTATCTACATATATATATATATATATATATATATATATATTTAGTTTGACACAACCAATTTTAAGATATAGCCACATCATCCACAGATTTTTCGGGATTTCGCAAGATTTTTTGAAGTATCGTACTCTTTTGCTTGGCAGACGGTTCAGATCTCCCTAATCTTGGTGAAATGCTTGTCCTTCTATCTCTTTTGAGTTGCATGATTATATGATTAACAATTGACAAAGACACATTTAATCTAGCCCTGATTTAGAGCTCAGACTTACAACATCCAAATTGGCCGACAATACACTCTCGAGTAAAATCGGTCAATTCTAACGTCCAAGATGTACACGTTTTTTTGAGTATAGTGTTAATAAATTAGGTTTAGACCCCATATACTCCAAAAAAAATTTCAGAACCACCCGATTGCGTATTCTTAAAAAAATGATATATTTATAGGAGTCTATTTACTTTTGACACCGTAGTGTGTATATATATATATAATGTATATAAATGCCCGTTAACACTATGACCACACCAAAATAGCGACGACAAGAGAAACCCCTAGTAATTTACGGTGCCGTAGTTTGTTGCGCCTAAGGAGACACTTTATTGCATACAAGTTCGAAGAGAAGTTCGTAGTCTGGAACTCTAAATAGATAGTTAGCATTGCAAGATATTATTTCACCTGCGAGTCTAGCGGTTAAGTAAAATTGTTTCTACTGCTTACTGTATATTCAGATTTTCTATCATAATTTCTTAGATAAATCTTAGTAATAAACGTAAATAATTTTTTCGTTATCACGAGTTTGTCATCCCATAAATACCATTAATTAATATTATAAATGCAAAAGTTTTGATGGATGTTTGTTTGTTACTCAATCAGGCCAGAACGCCTGAACGGATGTAGCTAAAATTTGGCATAGAAGTATATTATAGTCTAGAATAGCACAAAAGTTACTTTTTATCCCGGAGAAATGTACGATTCCCGTGGGATAGATTTGTTTTTGTTTTTCATAGAGCAAGGAGTCGACTATCTATTCTATAATATTAATCTCTGAACAATTCATCTGATTCTGATAATTCTATCACTCATTTGAAGCTACATTACCGCTGAGTGCTATAATAGCTTATAGGCTATTTTTTATTCCAACAGAAATGTGGTTACTGTCAGAAATTATCACAAAACATAATATAAAATATGCCAGTGGTTAAGATAAGATACTTAAGTTCATTCATATAAATTGTTTACTGGTTTTGCGCATAAATATTTTTTTTTAACGATTTAAGGACAAATATGATATCCTACAAACTTAGGTTCTACCGAACTATCCCTATGCTGAAGATGTAAATGATTTGCTATTCTATTGAAAAATATACAAATAGACCTACAAAACAAAAATTGCTTTTATAGATTTTAATAGGAAGACTATAATATAAAAATGGTGACATGTTAGTAGAGTGCTAAAACCATATCATATTTCAATATATGTAAATGTCTAGCAGAACCCGCAGCTTCGCCCGCGTTTAACCTACGAAAAAAAACTCTTTGGTTGTATTTATATAATATATGTATATATAGTCTTACAATAATGTATGGGAGTCTGCCCGATTTGTTGACATTTATGATTACTGCTCCGCACACTTGCGTAGTAACATTAAAATATATAATAGCCTATAGCCTTCCTCAATACACGAACAATCTGATGCAAAAAAAAACAAATCGAATTGGTACTTTCTGAGATTAGCGTGTAAAAACAAACAAACTCTACCTCTTTATAATATTAGTATAGATAACATAAAACTGTGAAAGATAACTACGGCCTATGTAAACAAAGTTATTTATCAATTGTCATTATTTTGTTGTATTAACTTTTATCAGAACGATTCGTAATATCATCGAATAAAATAATAATATACAAAGCACAATTCTTATATACTGTTTGTATATACGTCTTCGATTTGCTGTAGTTTAAAGAATATTTTAATTTAGTGAGATGAAATTCTAAATCAGATTAGGAGATATTTTTTATATGATGAAATATTCACATACCATATTATATATTTTAACTTGCACTTATATAAGGCACATGATAGATAGTTAAAAATTATACAGACAAACCCAGGGAAAGTTATATGTTTCAATGATTGTGTAAGAGTAAATACTATAAATAACAGCGAGTTGTTATTTATTTTACTTAAGTAGTTCATATTACTCGAAAATGGCAAAGAAACTGCACTACTTTGACGTGAATGGTCTTGGAGAGTCCATTAGGTACATCCTGCACTATGGAAAACAGAAGTTTGAAGATGTTAGATACGACTTCAAAAGCTGGCCAATTAAAAGCGTGAAAGATTGTAAGTGAATGATTATAATTAGATGTCTTTTTTATGCATGCACTAAACTTAAATTAATTATGTTATGAGAAAATATTTGTTAGATTTTATTATTATTATTATTAATATTAAAATTTAATTGTATTCATAAATATAAAAACTAATTACTATGGATTATTGATCTGAAATAAATACTTATTATTATTATTATTATTATAAAAGTGCCTTCATTTATTTTGCTTACTTAAATAATAATAATAAAGTTATGAGATCAAACAACTGTTAGTAAATAAAGTAAAAAAAATATATCATGAGTTAATATTAGTCCCGCTGAGTTTCTTTCGCCAGTTCTTCTCAGGTCTGAGGCTTCTTCTTTCCGAACTGGTAGTAGACTCATGACCTTCAGTAAAAAAATTGTTATAATTTAATGCTAAATAAAATATTTTAAATTTGAATTCGAAAAGTACCATAAAATTTCGTAATACAAAAAATCTTACTTGCTTACTTAGGATTATTTCATATATGATAATATTTGATAAGTCATATCAGTAATCCCTAGGTAACTCGGGCGACTTATAGATAGATACACACATATTATGTAGACTGTTATTTAAATATATTAACGTTTAGTATAAATTTCACAGAGATGTGATATTTTCCCGCAGTAAAAAGTATACTATGTTGACCCGGGTAACCAGTTATCATCATACCAAACATCAAAATTTGTCCAATGGCTTTCTCTTCCCAGACAGACAGACAAACAAAAATTCTAAAAACTATAGATTAGTCCTCTGTATCGATAATAATGACTAATTCAACAAGATCTTCTAAAAATATGTAATGTACAGATTCGATTCAGTTAAAATTTTATTATATTATGTATAGATAGATTATATATTGTTTATATACTCAATAAATGGGCTATCTAATGAAAAAAATAATTTTTCAAATCAGATTAGTAGTTCCTGAGTTTAGCGCGTTCAAACAAACAAACTCTGCCTCTTTATAATATTAGTATAGATAAAATAATGCATAGGTAAAATACACTATTCTCATGTCTTTAATTTCGCACAAAAAATATAAAAAACTTAAGCAAAATTTGTGCTTTTATAATTTTTAGCGCTACCTTACGGCCAGCTACCTCTTTATGAAGAGGGCAATCGCAGTTTAAACCAATCTTTAGCCATCGCCCGTTACGTTGGTAATGTGAACAACTTAGTCCCCACCGACCCTTGGGAGCAAGCGGTTTTGGATGCAGTGGTCTACAATATTTATGATTTTTGGTCAAGTAAGATTTTAATTTTTCATTGACACCTTAGATTTCAATTTTGTTTCAAATCTAGACAATTTTGTGTTCCAATATAGCTTATGCCTTTAGAAAACTTAACTATTTATGTAATGATATGTTATGATTCTTAATATTTATTGTATAATTCTCCTTGTCTATGGAGTTGAGATGTTTCAGTGTTATATTCAATAGTTATAATATTTCAATTTCACTTTCTATAATTTATATCGCGTTGTTATTAATTACTATATACATAGAAAGCGAAATCTCGTCTAAAGGATAGGTCAGTCTTGACAACCTTTTAGATCGCTAGTAGGTTCGATTCTGGCGTACTTGTTTACTTCTTAGTTATTGGTGCTTAACATGAAAATACAATATTTTAGACTAAAACCATCTGTAACTTGTTCTGTTATAGTTCCTTAAAAGATGAACAAACTCACAAATACTATGAATTTTATAATATAATCATTGATTAAAGTTATTCGAAATTGATTTTGTTTAAAAATTATAAAAATTAAAATGAATTTTATTATTCTTAGAGGTGCTGCCATACATTAGAGAACAAGATCCAGTCAAAAAGGAAGCCATCAAAAAAGAAATCTTGAGTGAAGTCGTCGACTTCTACTTCTCTAGATTCGAGAAAGAGCTAATGAACAACAAGGGATTCTTTGGAGGAAAAGTAAGTAATCTTTTCATACATGATAAGGATATTTAATTTTTTAATAAAAATATACAATATTTACATTTAAGTCACATTAAGATAATCTTATTATTGAAAATCTGTGCGCTGTAGCAAAATATACACACAAAAATCTTTAAAACCATACTTAACATTATAAATGTGAAAGTGTGTTTGTTTGTTTGTCCTTCTTTCACGTGGAAACGGAATGACGGACTGGCGTGATTTTTTGTATGGAGATAATTGGAAGGAAGAATTACTTGAAACTTGGTTGGTTGAAAAATACATCCCATAAGGGGGTAAAATAAGGCATGAAATTTTGTATGATACCTCCCTTTTTAGAGATTTTTTTGTAGTTTTAGCGCGAGCGAAGCCGAGGGTTCTGCTAGTATAATATATATTCGAATAAAGTATTATTTCCCTTTTTCAATTCCGCAAATATAATATTGTAAAAAAAATATTAAAAACAATAAATGTATTTATGAGAGATTCTATCGATAGTTCTTTGTCCCCATATAAAATAATTAATTAACACGTTCGCTGCATTACGAGATCTATCAGATCTCTTGCAGGACTTTTGTACTGTGCGTTGACTATAATCGTGTTGTTACACTCCTTGCGGGAGGCTCTAACGTGTAAAGTTCTTTAAGTATGAGTAAGACAAATATACATATTTGCTTCCTACTTAAAGGTGAATTCGAGGACATAAAAAAAATAAATAGAGATGGATTAGATCCCTAACGCACAGTAGTATAATTATTTTTATTCCTTGCGTTAGGAGACATGTCGATACTCGTGGAATCGTACGCCTCGTAGACGCAAGAAAGGGAGGTTGGGGGGCGCGGGCGCTGTGTGAATCGATTTAGTGTTGTCCTAGTGTCGACGTGGGAGGTTGCGCGCACGTTTCGAAAAAGTGTAAAAAATTTTTTATTTAATATATTTTATTTAATTATTTAATAAAATTGTTTTATTTTGGTGAGATTTCTAAGAATGAAAAATCAACGCTGGATTATAGTGCTGCATCGTCCAGTATAATTACAATTTTGGAAAATATAATGCTTTTTATTACAGAATTCCCCGAAGGAAGATGTACAGATCATGTTTTCCAACGTGGCGACAAAAAAAGACGTTGTGTGGGTTGTTATGAAAAATTACGACGCACATTAAACAGCACTGACGCTTCTAAAAAAAGCTGAAAAAATACCATTTGCGCGCAATGCAAATAATCAATGTGCTTACTATGTTTTAATGAAAAACACTTTGCATAGTTTATAAATAAACTTCTTTAATAAAACTTTTTCAATCGACAACTGAGATATTATTTTATTCCCATCACTACTTACTACACATATTGAACTATCTTCGGTTGCGGTACGAGATACAATCGATATCTAATTTTTTTTTGGTATTTGTAGCTTATTCTAATGTCATAACTGCGTGCGAACCTAGCAAAATGTAGAGCAATAGGCTCTCTTGACCCACAAAAACTTTAAAATATATGTCATTAGTTTTTTGGAAGATATAAATTATTTTCAAAACTGTATTTTTAGGAGACTGATTAGGTCTCTAACGCACCAAAGGGTAGGCTAGTTTCGAGATCTTTTAGGTCTCCAAAGCACCAGCTGAAAGTTCTTTCAAAATGATGACGCAGTGAACGTGTTAACTTGGTAAGGAAAGTAATCTGAAAATACTAGCAAAAGAGATTTGTTCTACTTAATTGATTGTAATGTTACGAGGTTGGGTTCTGGGTTCGAACATTAATGTTGGCCACTGGCAATACATATGTATATTTTATTGCTACACGGAAGTCACATAGCAGTTCACCGTTCACGTACACTTGCGGTACACGCACTGTGCGTGCTGAAAATGGCTTATTTGAGTTACCGAGCACTATACCTCAATATTCTTTTTCTCTCTTTTGTATCTCTTTTCAATTTTCATTGATTTATATGCTCGAAATTTCAAATATTTAAAATGAAATTATTATAAAAATTATGAAATTTAAAAAACAACGTTAACGTATTGTAGTTGTGTTTGAACATAACCAGAACAATACAAACATAGCTATAGAAAATAAAATACATAGATACATATGTATAAAAATAAAAGGAAAAATAAAATGGCGTCAAGAGTCAAAATGGTGACTTTCAAAAATTCTTAATTTAATTGGAATTTTTTATAATAAATTAATAGTGACTTATCCTTGCTTTGTTCGGGCCTCTAGATGCCTTTTAAACTTATTATATACATTATACATGCAACACCACTTTTTGGCTTTTATCACTAACCTATGTAATATTGTATTATATTATATTATATGGTATTATAGTATTGTATTTAGCATACCTGGAGTAAGCTCCAGGTATGCTAAATTACGTATAGTAGGAGGCCTTGACTCCATGGAGAGGTCCTTTATAAATAAATAAAAAAAAGAAAGAAAAATAAATATATAATTGTTAAAATAGAAGTAAATTAAATTAAATTTAGTTAAGATTTTTTTATTGTGTAGGCTATTTAAAGAGATTTTATTTTTTGTTTTTTATAAAATTGTTATATATTAAGTGCATGCTCTGTAAACATACTATTTATGTAATTTTATTAAGGAAATAAAAAAGGCTAAATTATTATTATTATAATGCTAAATTACATCCGAATCCGTCTAGCTTTTTAGCATGAAGAAGAAACGAACACACATACATATTTTTGCTCTTTTAATAATAGTGTAATATTAAATTAATTTATTCTAATTTTCAGTTAAGTTGGGCTGACTTTATCTTCGTTGGTATTTTGGAAGCCGCAAACCTAATTTTGGGAGCGGAAATCGACAAGAAATACCCGCAAGCTGCAGCTCTGCTACAGAAGATCAGGTCTCTACCTGGCGTCAAGGAGTACTTAGCATCCAGGAAGCCCTACGTATTTTGAATTGAAAACAATACATTTGTTTCTAAAGACATTTTTTTTTAAATTATTAGACTGAATAAATTTTGTTTTCGCTTTTTATTATATGTAATAAATTGTTTCTGAGTGTTATTTACTATTATTTTTTGAAACCTGAGCCATGATCATTATTATCAATCCATTTATCACAGTTTTATTATTATGAAATTATAAAAAAAAAGTTTTTATGGAAACGTGTTAAAAGTGAAGCTTCATTGGTTCATTGGCTTTCAAATCTGTAACAGTAACGTACTAATAAAAACTTTTAATATTACAAAAATATGATTAAAAAAATATCACACAAAGAGGAGAAAATAATATTTTATCTCTTTCTATCTAGCTGGATTGTTACAACTATCACATATACTATATAAGGTACGTATATGAGCGAAGCGAGAGAGAGTCGCTACTTATAAATTTTTTTTTACAAATTAGTAAAACTAGTAATCTTTGAAGATAGCAACGAAAAGAATATCATTTATTATGATTTTTCAGACAATAACAACGGTTACTATGGCAACGTAATGTAAACGGTTGCTATGGCAACCATAACGGCTTTTCGTGACGCGACCATTAAATTTACTCTCATGCACGTAAAGAGGTTTCACTTCAAAAACTCTCAATTGATTTTAAGAATATGACTGTTAGTTTTTGATATTCTTAAGTATATTTTTTACTATATTTTTAATATTTAGTTAACGAATTTGATCGATTAATTCTTGAAAGAATTCAGTACACGTGAGTCTTTATCTTACAGTACGTAAATAAGATAACCAAAAAATATTTACTTTAAGCCAGAATCAAAGCGACCTCTGACAGTACAATTTCGAAATGTAGATAATACATTTGTAAGTATTTCTATATAAAACAATAAATTATTTATGTTAGTCGACTATAAAAACTATTTAATTTGATTTTAGTCAACCTTCTCTTGATTGAAACTTATTGGACGTTATTACGTTCTTAAAATATTGAAGAAGCTTTGCTTTTATCGAACCACTATAAAATAAGCACAATAAAAAATATATTGGCACATTAACACACAGCACCATCTAACAAGGCTTTTGTTATGGATACCAGATGCACTACACATATGTAACTTTAAATACATACATATTATAAATATAAATACCCATGACTGGAGTACAAACATTCGTGCTCATCACACAAATGAATTTCCCCCACCGGGACTCGAACCCGCGACCGCTGGCACAGCAATTAGGGCTACTATAAACTGAGCCAAACGTGTCGTCATAATCTCCAAATCTCGTACATATGTTATGGCGATTAAACTAATATGAAAGGAATTCAGTATAAAACGTATTAATTTTGATGAAATAGGATTGTGTTTATATCTGATTGACAATTATATCTGAAACTGTTATTAATTAAAACTAGTGAATAATAAGTATTAATTAGGCCTCGCGTCAACTGTGTGTTTGTGTCACGGCCATTTTATCTCTGACATCAGCTGTCATCTGAGCAGGCCTAAAATATTTTTGGTAATGATACTTATTAATTTGTTTTTTCAAAACTTTCCTCTCTGGCCTTTATAACTTAATAATACTTGTAAATAACATTTGTATCTGTTCTAGGATGAGTCGCTCTACATAAGTCGAATAGAATATAGCAGTATTTATTTAAAAATAACGCCTGATGAAATAATATAGCAAACGCTGTGTCTCTAGTTCGTTACTTAGCAAGTTTGTTTCTTTACACTATCTACACTAATATTATAAAGGGAAAAGATTTGTAATTTTGTATGTTTGTATCGAATAAACTCAAAAACTACTAGACTGATTTAGATGAAATTTGGTAAAAAAGATAGATTGAAACCCTGGAAAGGACATAGCATATTTTTTATTCCAGAAATCAGGGATTAAGGGGGTGAAAATGGGGATGAAAGTTTATATGGGGAATCAATCCGAGCGAGGCGAGGGCGAGTCGCTAGTCTTTATTTATACTTCTTATATCTCCTAGCCACCGCCCCATACAAAAGGCTGAATTGTTCTTTAAATCTTTAATTTTTTTTAAATGTGAACAAATTAAAAACAAAAGTAAATCAATGTGACGAATTCGAATAGATTAATGTGACTGATATATCAAAATCTTAGCATTTTGCTCCAAGCGCGTAGTCCTTTCAATGCAAGGTATTTGTTAGCTCAGGGCGAAAACTCCGATATTACTTTCGTCCCTCAGTACTTTACGAAACTTTTGCCTTTAACTTTGCAATTCATTGAATCTAAAAGTTTAACATTTGTTTGGTGAACAATAAGTACAAACCGTGATTTAGCTTCCTGTTGCTCTAATTAATCTTCGTTTTATCGCAAGTTTATATTTAACAGTATAAATTGGAATAGATTTTAATTAGACTTAAAGTTTCTAACAAAGAAACTTCTAAAACAAATTTTAATAAGAAAATAATTGAGTAATTCAATATTGTAAATGTGAAAGTGTGTTTGTTTGTTTGTTTGTTTGTTTGTTTGTTTGTTTGTTCGTTCGTTTGTTTGTTTGTTTGTTTGTTTGTTTGTTTGTTTGTTTGTTTGTTTGTTTGTTTGTTTGTTTGTTTGTCCTTCTTTCACGTAGAAACGGAGTAACGGATTGGCGCGATTTATTGTGTGGAGATAGTTAGAGGGCTGGAGATAGAGGGCTGGAGATAGAGGGCTGGAGAGTGACATAGCCTACTTTTCGTCGCGGGAGATTACTTAATTCCCACTGGAAAACACGTTATAATACAATCCAAAAAATATTTACTATCAGAATCACTTGAAACTTGGTATATATACTCTTGAATAAAATTAAATAATTAAGTGTCTTAGCATTTTTCAAAATTCATCCTATAAGGGCGTAAAATAGAGGAAGAAAGTTTGTATGAAACTACCTTTTTTAGAGATTTTTTTGTAGTTTTAGCGCGAGCGAAGCCGCTTGTTTTGCTAGTTATAATAGAAAGATAGCAATTTGTGTATACAAAGGAATATTTCTTTGCCTGTATGACGTCTAGGATACAGTATAAAATGTTGTATAAGACACTTAGGGCTCTACCTAGCGATATATATATATATATATATATATATATATATATATATATATATATCTTATTATTGTAGTTATCATGTTGCGAATATAGTCATTCATTCGAATGAGTTTTGAGTCTTTTTTTTTTTTTATAGTTGGGAAATCCTATTACGGATACCACCCGACTTCCCCCCAGGGTGGTTATGTGGAGACTCTCCGGCTAATGAGACCGGCATACCCACTAAAACCCAACTTTCCCCACAGCCGCCATGTGGGACGCCACGGGACCGCTTTCGCATACAACCGTGACGCCCCGGCGGTTGGCCGAAGCCACCAACCATGAGGCCGTCCCAAGCGGGACGACCCCATTATGGGAAGACTTGCAACCCTGAGAAGTGAGGCTGCTCCCAAGTCCACTCTGCTGAACAGAGAAGTACCCGGAGCAGCCCCACACAACCAAACACCGCCCACCGAAGTGGGCAACCTGCAAAAACAAGCGGCCTAAGCCTAAACCTTCCCGCCCAAATTGGGCAAACCTCCAAGGTGCCCGGAACCGAACCACCCCAAACGGCTGCAGGAGTAGAGGATGCGACAACGCCGACACTCCCCTTCCCCTACAGCCCCACCGCGTCCACCATCAACGGTGGCCCCGCTAGGCCGCGGGAGATAGGGACGAGCGGCGCATCGCCATACCGACACTCCTCTTCCCCCGCGGCCCCCCTACCGTCGGCCCATCTCCGGACCAAAATGGCTGCCGACACCCACGCCAGACGCAGGACCACCGAACTGGCCCCGCTCCAGCCGCCGCACCGACGGGCTAGCCCCGGCAGCACGGCCCGCGCAGCGCCTCCTACCGCGAAACGGCCGGAGACACCGCGCTACCTCCAAGAAGGATACGGCGCCCTCCTGACACCGCTCCCCCTGCCCCTCCTGGCTGTTGGTCCGCGCCGGATTGCTCCGGTACCACAAGCTCCTGTCTGGGGGAACAGTCGCGAGTGGTTTTCCCCTATCCGCCACCCGGGGGACGCGTCCGGTAGCAGTCAGCCTCTGCCCCGGAGAGTTTTGAGTCTACGTCAACCACCGGTAGCTAGCTCACGTGTCCCTCAATTGTTCCTATTTTAAGTTACCTACGTAATCACAGTCTGCTATAAATATAATTCTTTCTGGTGCTGTGTTTAATTTACCGAACCAGCGCACAACAAATATCGATAAAATAAATAATGCTATTTAACATACTTAAATATTTAAAGTATAAATTAAACGTCGTACGAAACAGATATATACATAAATATATGCGTTTAATTATTCTAGTTTGTACTCACGTAGAATAAGTACAAACATATTATGTTACTAGCGACTAACCTTTGCTTTGCTCTAGCTTGTCCCTAGGTGACTCTTTAAATTGACATATTTTTTTATTTATGAACCAATTGAAATAAGATTAACACTAAATGTTCAGTGACACTTATTATAATACTTTAGTGAAAACCCCAAATCGGTTAGGCCGTTTCTGAGATTAGCGCGCACAAGTGCACAGATAAAAAGACAAAAATTCTAAAAATCATTGTTTTGGGTTCTATTGCGGTTAATAAAGACCCCCAATAATAGTTTTTATCAGATATCTTCCATGTATAGACAGCAGTCAGTTACAATTTATTATATGTATAGATAGATAAAGAATCTAAAAGATATAGATATAGAATATATTTAGACGAAAATCATTAATCAAAAAGATTTTCTATTGCAGAAAAAGTTTTTGAGTTTCTCGTCTGTACTTCTCAGGAACTGCCTGCTTTCGCAACCCTCTCATTTAATTCAAATATGAAATACTAGCAACTCACCCTCGCTTCGCTCGCGTTAGATTGATTCCCTATACAAACTTTCATCCCCATTTTCACCCCCTTAAGGGATGATTTCCAGGACAAAAAGTACCCTATATCCTTTCCCGGGTCTCAAACTATCTTCTTACCAAATTTCATCTAAATCGATTCAGTAGACTCCCTACAAAGTCACAAACTCACAATTCACAAACTGTACCTCTTTATAATATTAGTATAGATTGATTGATGATTCAGAATATTTAATTACATAAAGTCTAATTGAATAAAGTATATTTTAATTTAGAACAAACGTCACATCAATTCATTGCCAAAATGAGGTCCATAAAATTTGAAATATCATTTTGTTATAAGAAAAATACAGTTAGTTCTTCGAAAACAAGACCGTTTATCTTTCATCCAAGTCCGTACTATAAAGTTTAATCGCGAGCTTTAAGATCCCGACCAGCAGTAAATTAAACCTCTCTTTGACTAAACAAAGCCATTTTTTCTTCCTTATGAAAACATAATTTCTCGGCAAGGTGACTACTTTAATAAAGATTTTTTATATTAAGAAGGGAAACTGACGGCATTTTTTATTATAAATATTTCAAGATACTCTCCTTTTGTGGAAGGAATATATATATATATATATATATATATATATATATATATATATATATATATATATATATATATATAGCAAAAGGAAAGTAATTGGGTTTATAAAACTGTATGTTTATACTGTCTTTAAAAACACTTAAAAATTAATTAATATATATTTCAACCTAAAGGAATCTTATCTAACAGATTATATGAAACTACCCTCGCACTATATATGTATACTTATTTATAAATAAAAATTAAGTATCAGATTGGATTCGCAAAGCTTGCGCTCTATGACGAGCGCGAGACTCTGGGAGCGGTCTGTGGAGTATCCAACAGTGGACTAAAAGAGGTTGGTTATGAAAAAAGGTATTATTAATGTTAAAATTGGTTTGAAATAGACAAAAATATAAACAATATATATATTGAAATATTAATTTAAACCTTTTCAGTAAATCTTTTCATAAAGCCGGAAGGAAATTAAAAACAGTAAACAACGTAAATCCGTATTAATATATAATGGTCACATTGTTTTAATTACTGGAAAATTGTTCAAAACACCACACGTTTGGATCAGTTTGTAGTAACCCTACTCTCTGTGCCAGCGGTCACGGGTTCGAGTCCCGCTGGGGGCATTCATTGTGTGTTGCCCACGAATGTTTGTACTCTAGTCATGGGTGTTTATATTTATAATATGTATGTATTTAAAGTTATAAATAAATCCTTTATATATGCGTAGTGTATCAACTATCTGGTATCCATAACACAAGCCTCGTAGCTTACCATGGAACTAGATGGTGCTGTGTGTTAACGTCCTAATATATTTATTTATTTAAAAGTAGCATTTTATTATAAGAAAAACTATAAAAAACTTAAAAGGATTGATGAACATTTCCAGAAAATTGAGAGAAAATTTCCTCGGCTGAAGGAAAAGCCAGTGTTTATATTATATGAGTAAATTTTGATAATAATAGAAACTTGTAGCAGAATTTTAATAAAATTTAAGTTTGTTAATTAAGCTATCACATTATTAAATTATATATATAATATTTCTAGTCTAAGTATATAAAATACTGTTTTATAGTATTTCAGACTCTTCCTAACAAATAATTAACACTTGTTCGTTCTCGTTTAATATACTACGTATATATGTATCTATTCAGCCCTTTTTAACGTCCCATTGCTGACCACGGGCCTTCCTTCAATACGAGGGGAATCAAGCCATAGTCCACCACGCTGGCCAAGTGCGGGTTGGCGGACTTCATATGTGTACTTAATATTAAGTAGAAGAGAATCCAATGAATTAAAATATCTCTTTATAAATACAATACTACTACATTTTGTTATGCTCTCGTAATAGTTTAAATAGCTAAGTATACTTAACACATTATAATTTATTTAACATAAAATAAGATAAAAATATATTAATTAAGAATATAATAAAGTAGGAATTATAATATAGAATTAAAAAAATCCTTATTACTTGATATCTATAGGTACATATAATAAAATTGTAACTAAGCCGAATCTGTACATTAAATTTTTTTTGGAAAATCTTATTGAAATATACATTATTATAGATACAAAGGCCGAATCTATAGTTTATAGAATTTTTGTATGTCTGTCTGTCTGTTACCCCATCACAGAAAAACCACTGGAGGGATTTTGAGGATATTTGGTACAGTATAGCAGGTTATACGGGTCAACATATAGGATACTTTTTAGCGCAGGAAAATGTCTCATTTCTGAGACAAAATACAAAAACTGCAATGTAAGTATACTAATATGTAAAACCTAAGAATTTCTTTTTGGTCATAAATGTAGCCATATCGTTAACCAAAGTGGTTTAAATAAAATAATATAAAGAGCTAAAACTCATACGAAACTTAAAATGCTTATCACAGCAGAAAGTTTCACAGCTATCAGTATAATTGTTTTATTATACTTAAGTAGGATCTTAAGTTTCAAGAAACTTGGCCCGTTAATTCAAAAACTCTACCGTGGCTATTTGTGAAAAAAAAATTCGAAGGTTCTTACTGCTCAAGTCTGGTGAACTAGTTTGAAACTTCTGGACCAGTTTGCAGAGAGTTCATTAGGATCGTTGGTTTTGGGATAGGTTTAAAATGGAGGATGAAGCGGCTTTACTACGTTTTAGAGTTACGTTTAAGAGCAAATTGTTGACTTTGATTAGCTATTTTTATGTTTGTACACAATTATGATCATATAACAAACTAGCGATTCAGACTCGGGTTCATCCCTAGCTTGATTCCCAATACAAACTTGAATAAAAAGTATCCTATGTCCTTCCCAGGGTCTCAAACTATCTTTTTACCAAATTTCATCTAAATCGGTTCAATAGATCCAGAGATTACCCCCTACAACGTCACAAACACACAAACTTTACCTCTATAATATTAGTATAGAAGATTGATAATGGATATTTATGATTTAAAATTATATATTTTGCATGATAATCTTTATTGAAAAAAAAAAACACGTTTGGAACTACTTTTTTTCAGTTATATCAATATCGGTAGGATATGTCATCGAGAATGATTTTTCGTTATTCAAAAACGTGGATTTTTAAATTTTTTTGATATCTCGTCTCTTATATCTTATTCCAATTATTCTTCTTTAGACAAGAAATGCTATACAGAAGAAATGCTTCACTTTCTATAAGAGAATGAAGTTGGCCACTCGGGACTCGTTAAGACGTGCTTGTAATTGGACAGGACTTAGCTTTGTTTGACATCGAGTTTCTGGATTTCAAACTTTAGAATTTATGCTTTTAGTACTAAAAGAAAAATGGATAGATCGTTTGAGGATGTAAAAATTTTTATGTCCATAAATGTTACATTGTAAAATTTTAATATATCTAAAATAATTAAGGTACATCGCTTGTAGCTTACTTTTGGATGGGTGATCGCTTTGTATAGTATTTTTATATTTCATAATACATGTTCATCCGTTTATCGCGATATTTATCTATTAATAGCAGTCGTTAAGTCACTTTTGCAGTACTTTAGCGGCCTGATAAAACCAAGCATTATTTACCCGCTTCGCTCTTCCCTAGGTGTATTTATAAGACTAGGCAGCGCCACCTTTTTGAAAATTTTAATATTATACTAAATTTTATCAAAATCAGCTATTTCAGTGTTAAGAAGTTATAAGGATACGTACAAACTTTCACATTAATAAGACTAGTGTACTTAAAAATTTATGAAAAAATAAAAAGTAAATGATTTTTGATATATCAGTGGAAATTGACAATAATAATGGCTTATCCATTGCTAAGATTAGTGAGTTCATACACCTGATATTAAAATTTTTATTGTATAATTTACAATATACGTAGAATATTGCATATACTATATTGTAATACTATGTCACGAAAACTAAATACTGTACTAAAATAAAATGTATGCTACATTATATGCTGTGACTAAAAAACTATTTCTTTAAATAAATTATCTCTTAATAAATATGTTGGGACATTAGGCACTCGTGCACTATGTATTTCTGTTACTCTCATACTCCGGCGGGACGATAATTCGACACGGCAAGAGATCAGAGAGACGGCTTTACCATCCACTTCGAGACACGAGGGTGATACACCGCCAACTTCCCAACTCCGGGCTGTCACTGAAACTTTCTTAATAGAAAAACTCAACTACACTACGCTCAACCCGGGATTCGAACACAGGACCTCTGGATCTGCAGCTGTAAATGCTAGCCATTAGATCATCTCTGTAATATTAGCTGAGGATGTCAAAGCCAATAAAAACAAAATAACGCAATAATAATTCAATCAAGAGATATTAGAAATAATAGGATAAGTATGAAATTAAATCACTCGATAGTAATAGGTGTAAAATTGATTTTTATTGAACGTCATGCTGTTAGTAAAAGTAAACTAAAAGTACTGTAATCTTTAAGAGTTTAATTGAAATGGCTATTCTACGATTTTTACTTGGCTTATCATTTTTACCTACAATTTTTACTAGTAAGTACAAAGATTTCTTTCTGTTTGCATATATGTAGTTACTTGTGCACCCTTTGATATTTAAAAAAAACACTGCATTTGCTATGACACCATTTTTAGTTTACTTTGATTGATTAGTTTGTTTTTGAACGAGAGAACCTATTGGCCATATGATATTAATAAATTTTAATAGATTTTTTTAAATTTAAATACAAGATTTGATTATTTTACGATTTTAGGTTTATTATGAATAAAACATAATATAATATACTAGCGACTCACCCTCGCTCCGCTCGGGTTCCTTGATACGTTTTAACGGATAGTATTATAGATTTCTCAGAGATGAGACATTTTTCAGCAGTGAAAAGTATCCTAAATATTGACCCAAATAACCAGCCAGCACCATACCAAGTTTTATCAAAATCTGTCTAGTAGTTTTTTAAATATCGCAAAAGAACAAAATCCCCCTCTATGTGAGAATACCTATAATGTTTAATTCAAATTTAATTATAATGTTTTATTAGTCGATATAGATTACTTCTTCAGTTCTCCTCTTCGGACTGAAAAAATAGTTTGCGGACGTTTCCAAAATATTATTTGCCAGATAAAATGCGAGGACTTATCGTCACTATGCATTAAAAACGAATGCTATTGCCTAAGTGTTACACAACCTGATGCCAATTCTTCAAAACATGGTAAATAGCATTTTATTTCAACTATTTTGTGATCAAACAAAACAAAAGCAGACAAGGCAATATTCTACTTATGTCTAAATGAAATCCGCACACTCTGGGACACTAGGCAGAATTTGATGTGTGTACTGCGTAAGGGGCCATTCGTTAACTACGTAAGGATAATTTTGGCCATATTTGTATGAATAAGAACAGATAAAAGGCTTTTACCACTTAGCTAACCGCTAACAGTTAACCAGCTATCATCATACCAAATTTCATAAAAACCTCAAAAATCAGTGATTTTCTTGTGATGCGGTCACAGACAGACAGACAGACTGACAAAAATTCTAAAAACTATAGATTCGGTCTCTGTATCGATAATAATGAATATGAATGTACAGTTTCGACTTAGAATTTTAGTGTATGTTTAAATATCATAATATTTTAAAGTAACTAATTATAATTTCGTTTCGTCTGTCACTTAATTAAAAACCACAGTAACTTTTCACTTCATACCATTATTAAAACACTTATTAATAATTTTAATCATAATTATATATAATTATTTTAATAAAATACAATAAATTTCTTATTTTAGATATAGTTCCACATAAAGACTCAGCTGAAACCATCTCACATGCATCTCGTCCAGCTTTACGCCATCATATAGCACATTTTTGCCCAAACCTTAATATTGCCAGATCGTGTATTAAAAAATGCATGGCAGTCGGTAAACCAGCTTTTTGTGGCAAAGATCATGTATGCTACTGTGGCCATAGTTACGCTAATATGGAAGACGATAAACAACATAATGTAAAGGAAACCTATTCTCAATTTAAGGATATGTACAAAAAGTACTTTGGAACCGATACAGATTCAGCAAGTGTTTAATATACGTGAAATAAGTAAATATTGTTGTAGATTATATTATTATTAAACAAAAATCTTTTTTTATTGCGATTGATAAGTAAATAGAAATAGTTTATTCATCATTTTTACTTAGGCACCCGCTAATTATACACATTTTTTTATATTATTACAATTCATGTTATAGACATTTTACTTACAATTAATAATACATTATACTAACCATAAAATACAGGAAAGAACCTAGTAATGTCTTTCTTATTCTATCAGAATAACTCATTTCAACATACTCAGCTCATAAATTGTTCTATTTAAATCACACATTACATTTTAATTTTTTTGAGCGGAACCCTAATTCTTTTACTGAAATAAAGGTAGCCTAAGGTACTCTTTATAACATTAACTAACTACCTGCCAGTGAAAGTCCCGTCAAAATTGGCCCAGCCGTTTCGGAGATTAGACGGAACAAACAGACAGATAGACAGAAAAAATATTGTGTTTTTCTTATAAATACCGTATATAATTTCATATGCATTTAATAAAAAGCTGCTATTTTGACATTGCAAACGGACACTTCAATTTTATTTATCTGTATAGATGATGACGTTCTCCTTGCCGATTTCAGCCGTGGTGGCCAATCTCACTGAGACTAGCCAACTGCGCCAGAGATATTTAAATGCACAAGTGTACGCGTAGACACAAGTTCACTTTCTTTTCAACCGACTTCAAAAAGGAGGAGGTTCTCAATTCGACTGTATTTGTTTTAATGTTTGTTACCTCAAAACTCTGTCATTTATTAACCGATTTGGACAATTTTTGTGTTGTTTGAAAGTGTATCTTTGGCTAAGTAATTAAAGCCTAATATATATTCTTTACTGCATATTAACAGAATAACACAGATAATACAGAGACCAATGCGGGCAAAGGTGGACTTATCTCTAGAAGAGATCTCTTCCAAATGCCTACCTATTAAATACATACCTAATCAAATATTTTCGAAATCGTTGTCAGCCCATACAAAGCAAAGCACACCGACTTCGAAAATATTTGATTAGGTATGTATAATAAATGTAAACTACCAATCAGTTATTTTTACTTTTTACTGCTTTTGTTTGAAGTCGGTTTTTTTTTAAGTTTTTTCCTATTTGGTCTCAAAAATCCCAACCTTAATTCAGTACGATCGGTGAGAGTTATGGTGCAGGACCGACAGTTTTACGTGGTCTCCGAGGCTGCTACTGAAATTCCTTAACAGAAAAACTTAATAACTAAACTTGGCCCGACTCGGGATTCGAATTCAGGAAATCCGGATATGTGGCCATGCATACTTCTCGACCACCAAAGCACTTATTTATGTACATACATAGGTTTCATATTTATTTTTGAATAGTATATAGTACATATATTTATCTACTTCAAAAATATCTTACTAAAACAACTTACATAAGGGATATATAAAAGAAAATGTGCACCCATGAATTGTGGATGGCTCAGATTGAGTGACCTATGCCAGTAATAGTGTTTTAACACGCAATGACAGACGTTGCGTCCCACTAAAGATATTAGAGGGAAGACGTTAAGCATTTTATTTAGGAACAACACGAAATATATTGGTTTTGTAAAATAGAATGTATGTATGTTAAAGTTAATATTTATTTATTTATTTATTAAAGGACAGCCAACAAACGACACATTAAAAATGGTATGATATTCATGTGCTAACAATTTAATAAATGTTTTTTTAGTTATAGGTTATCACAACATGCTCTTTTTTTTAAATCACGTCAATATCATTTAATTACATGAAGCAAATTTAAAAATAAAAAATAGTAATAAGTTAATAAATAAAGTTGAAATTAAATTAAATTAAATATTATTATGTAGTGACAATAATTTACTATTTTATATTTCTTTTGTCTGTACTCTCTGTTTAATGTTGATTTCATGACCATAGCAAATTCCATGAAATGTACGAAAAAATCATTAATTTCTAGTACATTTATTTCCAGAACTTGAATATTAGTGACACTGTCACGCGGATATGGCTGTTATTTTTGTTCAAGCTACCGGTTCGATTTCCGATCAAGAAAATTCATTAATAAAAAAATAAGTAATAATAAATGTTTTAATATACCAATACATTCATTAAAGGTAAAATAAAATCCATCCATCTACAATATTCATTATATGGACGGCATAAAGCAGTTTGTATTTTATAGCATTATTATTAAAAACAAAGTTAATATTGCGGCCGAACACTTCCCAACATATCCCAAGAACCGAACGTATCCCAAGAATTATTTTATTTTATTATACATGTATGAAATAACCCTATTTTTATTATTTGACTAATGCCCGATTACACCAACAACCCATAAGCTATCACCTACGTATGGGATCCCTAGCTTAAAAGTCCCCTAAACTAGCCCCTAAATTAAATTTCGTTTTACGATCGTCTTCAAGCCCATATTTCGAGCACCTAAATTTAGGGGGCCTTTTAATATTTAGGTGACCCCTAACTGTCGGTGAAACAGAAACTGTCCCCTAACAGCCCCCTAACCATGCTTAAGGGATCCCTTAAACTTAGGTGACGTTGGTTAAATCGGGCATAAGACACCTATATGCCTATCACAATGTAGCGTTAATAAAAAAAAAAATATCTTTGAAATAAATGATTGTGACATACAGGCAGATAGACAGAAAAGATAAGGGTTTTATTTTTGCCTTTTCGATAAGGAACGTAAAAAAATATTATTAAACTATAAAGAATAGATACTAGCAACAATAAACACACGTAAGTTTTATATTTTCTCAGATTCATCCAATTCCTCAGTCCCAGATGTGCGTGAGGGAAATGATGCGGTGAATTTGAATTATACAGTTTGATGAGTAATTTCAAGCAATCCGTTTACGGTTTAAATTCTTTATAGGATAGCAAATTGAAATGGAGATATAAAAGTGTTAAAAAATTATCGCTATATAATCAATGATAATTTTTTTTGGTGTATTATAGAAACTTAAAACTTTAGATGAGTCCCAGAATTACGTAAATCGTTTTTGTTTTAACTTAGATATTAATGTGAAAAGCGAAAAAGAAGAATTAGTACATAGAGATTTTAATAAACTATTTATTGGCTTTTTAAGAAAAGTTTATTTCTTTGTTTGTTCTTCTTTAATGAGGTAAAGGAGAAATGAATTTACTGGTATTTTTAAAGCTTCTTCAAATATGCAAGGTATATTTATATATATATATATATATATATATATATATATACATAGAGTCAGAGGCTGACTTAAGGAAGAAGAAATATCATTTATCTAATAAAAGTGTAACTAATTGTTGTCTGTACATGGAAGATATCTGAGAAAAAAATACTATTTAGGGTCTCTATTAACGCAGTAGAACCCAAAACAATGATTTTTAGAATGTTTGTCTGTTTGTCCGTACGGTTGTGCGCTTTAATCTCAAAAACGGCTTCACCGATTTGGGTGCGTTTTTCACTATTATGGTAAGCTTTACTTAGCATTAAGTATTTATTTTATTTTAATCGGTTCATAAATAAAAGAGTTATGTTAATTTAAATAATCACCTAGGGACGAACTCAAACCAAGCGAGTGGGAGTCGCTAGTTAATAATAAGTTCTACAACGATTTGCTTTTTCATAATAAATATCTCCTTTCCTTATTTCGATTTTACTTCCATTTCAAATGTTGAAATTCATCAAAGGCGGTAAATAAATATTTTCATACGGCTTCTACGAAAATGTAGACAAAAGCGTTCATTACGTAATCTATTATGGATAAGGCTATCAATACTTAAAACTAGTATGATTAAATTATTTTCAATAATTTTGATAAGTTTAATATTCAATAATTACTTGAATAAAAATCTATACCGACTTTAAAATCGCTTTCTTAATGACAACATCCTTCTTTATTCCAATAGACTTTTTCTTTAAACCATGGCTTTAGATATTTTGAGATATAATCTACAATCTACAGACATGAGCAAAAATATAGGAAGGTATTAGTGTAACACATACAAAAAATATACACTTCAAATGAACCTGTTTCTGCGAAATCGGTCAAAATAACAAATACTGTCTATGGCTTTTTTCGCATTTTTGTTAAGTCAATATATAAAACAGGCACATTTTATATAAGAGTACCTACCTAGAGCGGAGAACTAAATTTCTATTAATAAAAGTGCTTAATCGATTAAAATGAAAACTAAATATATGCTTGTAATTGACACTTATAAATAAATCATTTCAATCTCATTATTATATTACTAGCATTGCCCGCGGCTCCGCCCGCGTTCTGATGACCAAAAACCAAATTCTTAGGTTTTACATATTAGTATACTCTTATAACGCAGTTTTTGTATTTTTTCTCAAAAAAGAGATATTATTTATTAAAAAGTATCCTATAAATTGACCCGGATAACCAGCTATCATAATACCAAATTTCATTAAAATCTGTCCAGTGGTTTTCCCGTGATGCGGTTACAGACAGATAGACAAAAATACTAAAAACTATAGATTCGGACTCTGTATCGATAATAATGTATATTTCAATAAGATTTTACAAAAAATATTTAATGTACAGATTCGACTTAGTTACAATTTTATTATATGTATAAAGTCCAAAGTTTGGATGAAAGGATGTTTGATACACAATCACGTCAGAATTGGTGAATGAATCTGGATGAAATTTGGCACAGAGATAGATTATAGTTTAGAATAGCACATAGGTTACTTTTTATTGGTGAAAAATATGGTTCTAGTTGATAGATTTGTTTTTGTTTTCCACAGAGCTAGGGATTAACTACCTATTTCATACTAACCGTTAAAACGTATCTAGGAACGAACGTGAGTCGTTAGTTTCAAATAATATCTATCTTCGACTTCGAGATATTCGATATAAAGTCTGTATGACTTTTTTAGCTTAAAAATCTTTAAAATATTTGCCTTTATTCACTTATCTCAGGAACTGATGGAGCGATGATAAAATGTCTTTGCATTACACTAGTTGATTGAGGTCTCAGCCGAAAGTGACATAGGCTTTTTATTCTGAAAAAGAAAACCCTTGGACGTGTGCTACGTTTCGAACGTGTACCACATTTTCGATTTTCACTAGCGGTTAAAGTATTTTAGTTTAGTTAGAGTAATAAACATTATTTTTATGTCTTGCTAAAAAAGTAATACAATAAATTAATAAATATTTTGGACTATATATTATACTAGCGATTCACAATTGCTCCGCTCGGGTTCATGCCTAAGTACATTTTAACGTTTAGTATAGATTTCTCAGAGATGAGATATTTTCTTAGTTATAATTTTATTATATGTGTAACCATTTATAAACACTCTAAAGCCAAACATTAGAATTACCATCTAAAGCCAACAACTTGTTATTTGAAGGACTGACCCTTCATATTACCATTGAGTGTTCACATAGCTCTAGTCTATTGTTCTGTGAGTGCCTACAGAATTTGATTTGCGTATGGCCTAATCTTCTTTGGTTTGAAATAAAGGTGGTTATCCTATAACTAAAGTGTTAATAATATTGTAAACGCATTAAAATCTAAAAGCTAGTAATTTCATTAAGTAATATTCCATTTCAAAGCTTTTGGTTATTTTTTCTATTAAATATAGTCAGAGTGGGAATGAAGGATTAGATTGTTGATTTGGGAACTTCATTCATTTTGAAGTTTAAAGCATTTTTAGGTAAATATTCATATGGAAAAGTTTTCTTTACACATATTTTATGTAAATGTAATGTAATGTTGTCGTTATTTTAAAATGATTTCATTTAAGACTCTATAATATTAATATTTACAAGTGAAATACTAGCATAAGCCCGTGGCTCTGTTCGCATCGCAGGTGCGTCGACAAAATGTAGGCTGTGTTAATCTAAGATTTAATAAATCTCCATTCCCAATTTCATTGAAATCCGTTGATGATAAAAAGAAGAAAATTAAACAAAATACAAACCCACTTTCGTATTTATACTAACAAAATGTACTTTCAATAATAATGTTCTCCTGACCGATTCCGGCCACGGCGGCCAATCTCATTGAGACTAGCCAACTGCGCAGGAGATATTGTAGTGCACAAGTACATATACGCGCAGACACAACTGCACTCTCTATTCCTGTCACTTTCATACTCCCGTGGGACGACTGCTCGACACGACCAGTGAGAGTTAGGCGCAGGACCGATGGCGTTACGTACTCTCCGAGGCACGGGGGTGAAACACCGCCAACTTCCCAACTCCGGGTTGTTGCTGAGGCTTACTATACAGAAAGACGCAATAACTAAACTTGGCCCGACCCGGTACCCGAACCCAGGACCTCCGGTTGTGCAGCCGTACATGCTAGCCACTACACCACCGAGGCAGTTAAGTACTTTCAATATTAAGAACATAAAAACACCCTTTTTTACAAGTAGGTTTAAGCGAAATAATATAATAATATGAACCCGATTTTATTTTAACGAAATATATTTTTTTAAATCTTTATAAAAAAATTGTTCAATACAATGTAAAGCCGTAATTTATGACAAAGGAAATGTCACACTTTAAGGGTTTGACAGAAACCCTTTTGTAATGAAAGAGGTTTTGATACCCAGCTTCTGTCAACTGACTGAATTATACAATATTATATTAATGTTACAAATGGTTATGTAATCATATTTACATACTACGTTTTACTCGGGACTTCACTGGCGTGGTACGTATATTGTTGAAAATATTTTATGAGTATGTATTAATACAAAAAAAGCTATAGGTATTTAAGTTTGTATATTCAGAAGGCGAAGAAGTAAAATCTATTGACTTAAAAACTTTTATATTTATAATACAACTAAGACTGAGATACCTCTTAAATTTTCTATGTAATTCAAAAACAACCGAGAAATCTCTTTACATTAATAAACCAATCTCTTGACTGGTCAAAACATAGTTTTTTTAAGTTTACATTTTTTTTTACGAAATCGTTAAATGTATAATATTATTATA